ACACTAGAAACGTACCAGAAACGGGTTGAAGGAAAGCGTTGCAATTCGGATCTTTCTCCGATTGATGCCCTCCGAGCCTACGTCACGCAAGTATTCCTCTCTATTATCCTACTCTCGCCGATTAATACATCTGCTTAGTGCACTCCAAGAGGTAGCACAAGAGATACAGTCTTCAGAAGAGCGCGCGAAATCTACATGGAGGAGAATAACTAGGATGACGGTCGATGCAGAGGAGATTAGAGATTGGACTAGAAGTGTTGATGAGGCGTACCAGGACTTTATGGTGAGACCAATCGAAGCGTTTTTCTGAGATATACTCATTCTAACCAGGTCGCCATGAGCCTGCTTCATTACGAGCAAGTTGGAGAACAGAGGAATATGCTTGTCGCGATCGATAATCGTCTAGGAGATATCACAGAGTTTAGAGGAAGCAAGTTCTCCGCTTCAGGTATGTTGATGAGGGATTCAATTCCTAAGCTAACCTCTCATAGATACCGAGAACACTATTCTGCGACAAGCCTATGGAATAGACTTGGACCTGTGCCATAAAGGCACTAGGATAGCTATCCTCGAATTAATTCGCTCGTGGTCAAACCGCATTGAGGAGACGAGACAGATATTCTGGCTCAGTGATATCGCTGGCACTGGGAAATCAACGATTGCCGCGACACTGGCGGAGCAATGGATCGACACCGGTCAATTGGCGGGCCGATTCTTCTTCTCTCCGAATTCCTCGGCAACCTCTAGCACCAAAGAGTTCTGTATCCTCCTAGCAAAGGATATGATGGACCAGATCCCGGCTCTACGCGAGACAATCGACTCAATCGTAAAGGACCCATCCACCATGCGACTGAGAATACAACAGCAGTTCAGGAGACTCATCACAGATCCTTTAAAGTCGTACAGTCAAGCCGCGATATTTGTTTTCGACGCTCTGGACAATTGCGATTTAGAAGATCACCAAGCTCTCCTAAAGCTACTTCTCGAACAATTACCCAGTATTCCCAAAGTCAAAGCATTGATCACGAGTCGACCTGTCCCATCGATAAAGTACATCCTACAGAATTCTCCCCTTGTGACGGGGAGTAATCTCCAATTGTACGATATCAGGGACCAAGGAATGAACTCGGATATCCTGGCATATGTCGATGAGAACTATCATCTACGGCACCTCACCAGTTCCCAAAGACGGCAGCTTGCGCTGCAGTCTGGCGGGTTATTCGTGTGGGCAGCTACGGCGTGCCGGATGTTCCAAAAGAATCGAAAGCAACCGGAGTTATTGAAACTTCTACTCAGTTCGACTACAGCCAAGAATCTCGATGGACTGTATTTAGGGATTCTGCGGCAAGCCCGAGCACCTCCTCATGCTCATAACGA